CAATCCTTCATATCCGTGGGCAGTGGCTCCAGAGTGCCTGCTGCCCAAATACCAAAGGCTGGGGATACTCAAGACCCTCATGTTCAAATCCACAGTGTTCTTGTTTGATTATCCCTTGGATGCTCATGTGTTAAAGGCAAGGTCACCAGACCAGAGGCTTTGGGGAGATAATTGAATTGAATTCTAAGGACTCTGACCTAATGGATTTTTTTTTTTTGACTGATGGATTCATAATATGATTGCCTCACTGGGAAGAGGTGGAAAACTGGGAGTTGAGAGTTCTTTGGAGGAAGTAGATCATGGGTTCATGCCCTGGAAAAGATATATCTTGTCCCTAGCCACTTCCTAGTTCCTTTTCTTTTTTGTTGTCAGCCATGTGATGAGCAAGTCTGCTCTGCCATGCCCATCTGCCACGATGCTGTGCTTCACCAAAAGTCTAGAAACAAAGAGCCAGGCAATGATGGCCCAAGGTCTCAGGAACCATGATACAAAAGAGAGATTTCCTTCTTTTGATTCTCTAATGTTATGACTGGGGGTCACCACAACATGAGAGACTGTATTAAAGGGTCACAGCATTAGTATGGTTGAGGACCATGGCTTTAAGTTATCTCTAAGCTACTTACAATTCCTAACACAGCGTAAAGGCTGTAAAATAGTTGTTGTGCCATATTGTTTAGGGATAATGACAAGAGAAAGCCTCTGATCACATCCTAAACACACGTGTTTTTCTTCAAATATTTCTGATAAGCAGTTGTTTGAATCTTGGAAAAAGAATCCATGGCTATAGAGGACCAATTATGTAGTTTAAATAGATCAGGTTGTTAGCTATTACATTGCCAGCGCCCTATAAGGGTAGGCTTCCTGCCCACACCATTTTTTGTTTGGTTGGTTTTTTAGAGACAGTGTTTCTCTGCAACTTTGGAACCTGTTCTAGAACTAGCTCTTGTAGACCAGGCTGGACTCTAACTCAGAGATCCACCTGCCTCTGCCTCCCGAATGTTGGGATTAAAGGCTTGTGCCACCATCACCCAGCACAAAGGTAGGCTTTTAAGAGTCCTTCCTGATGGCTTGCCACTCCCTCCTCCGTTCCAAATCATCTTTGTGGGGACTATTATCTTGTGATACTCTTTTCCTATCTTCACAGTTTACTGTTTATTCAGAATGTCTCCTTTTTTCCTGTTTTGGAACTTTACATAAGTTGAAGGATTTTATAATTTTTTTCTCTCTAAATGATGTTTGTGAGGAACTGGGTGTTGTGGCACATGCCTGTGATCTTGGGAGGCTGGTGAGAAGATCTGGAGCATTTGAGGAAAACTTGGGTTGCATAGTGACTTCAAGGCCATCTTGTGCTATGTGGTGAGCTTCTGTTTGTGAAAAAAAAAGTTTGTGAAATTCATTTGCATTGACTATGTGACTGTACGCTTACTCAATTAAAACAATTGGGGCTCAGTGGTAAGAGCATTTGCTACACTAGCATGAGGACCCGGATTCAGATCCCTGCACTCATATAAGAAGCTGGGCGTGGCCATGTGTGCCTATGACCCCAGTGTTGAGTTGCGGAGGATTCACTGAGCTTGGTGGCTGCTGGTGCACATCAAAAATGGAGAGTTCCGGGTTCAGCAAGAGACCCTTTTCCAAGGGAATAAGGCAGAACGTGATAGAGGAGTGTACCTGATGTCCTCTGATCTTTATACATGGCAAACATACCTGCACATACATACATACACACACACACACACACACGTCCCACCAGGAAGATGGTTCAGACATTAAAAGTTCTTGCAAGCATGAGGACCTGAGTTCAGACCTGCAGAACCCATGTAAATGTACACCTGTAATCCCAGGTAATCCCAGCGCAGGGAAAGTGAGAAGGGCATTTCCCTGTAGTTGGTTGGGTCGCTAGTCTAGCTGTTAACAAACTTCACATTCAGTGAGAGACCTTGTCTCAGAAAAATAAGGTTGGACTTTGGTCCAGAAACCAATCTGGAACTGACCTGAAAACTCCCTTCCTGCTGACGAGCTTTCATAGGACCAGAAAAATACTATGGCAGTCCACGAGGGGAGAAAGTCTACCAACGCTATTACCCAGCAGTGAACCCTGCACGCTATAGTCCTAACCAGACAGGTAAAATGGGCCCACTGGTTTCATCATGGTAAAGGTTATGAGGATGACCAACACTTTTGGATTGGATTTGAGGTCTGCTCCACAGGAGAGAATTCATGCCTGTTACTGTAAACCTGGTTGAATGTCCATAACCTTGGAGGTCAAAGGTCATATTGTTGTCTTGCTAAGTGGGCAAACTGTGATCAAACTGCCTAAATACTTATGTTCATACATCTCAATTATTGATAGTCAACTTTGACCCAGAAAAGTGGGCCAAAATTAATGCAGAGACTCATAACTGGCCAAAATGCCAAGAATAAATGCTCAGTCCTAAATGGGAAGTCTGTCTCACACCATTTCCCCATCTGCCAAGGCTAAAGGAACATCGGGAGGAGGGTCCATAGGACCAGCAGCAGCTCTGTGAAATGTTTTCTTCTGGATTACGGCATGGCAGTCATGAACTCAACTGCACATGATGAAGACAAGAGAAGGTCAGCTAGGGACTGGAGAGATGGCTGAGTGGTTAAGAAAACTTGTTGCTCTTCAGAGAGCTGGGTTCAGTTCCTAGCACCCATATGCTAGCTCACAACCACCTTTAACTCCCAGGCACTCAGATGGTGCACATTCATACACACAGACTGAACTAAAGGAAAGAAAGAGAAACAGGAGAGACTGGACATAAAGTGGGGAGGGGGACATATGGGAGTGCCTGTGGGGAGTGGGAGGGGGGAGTGGGGGCAGCTTAATATGTGATCAAGATACATTGTTTTTATATATGAAACTGTCGAAGAATAAAAGAGATCCTATTAAAAATAAGGTGGAGATAGCTGGGCGGTGGTGGTGCACACCTTTAATCCCAGCACTCAGGAGGCCGAGGCAGGTGGATCTCTGTGAGTTGAGGCTGGTCTGGTCTACAGAGCAAGTTCCAGAACAGCCAGGGTTGCTACTCAGAAAAATCCTGTCTCGAAAAACAAAACAAAACAAAAGTCATAAAAAAATAAGATGGAGCTGGGCGGTGGTGGTGCACGCCTTTAATCCCAGCACTCGGGAGACAGAGGCAGGCGGATCTCTGTGAGTTTGAGGCCAACCTGGTCTACAAGAGCTTATTCCAGGATAGGTTTCAAAGCTACAGAGAAACCCTGTCTTGGAAAAAAAAAAAAACCTAAAAACAAAACAAAACCAGAGAGAGAGAAGGACTATGACAGGTAAGTAACTCTTGATCCTCCGAGCTGATTTCAGAATTGCCTTTTCAGCTTTTGACACAGGGGGCTCTGGGAGTCCGTCCAGATGTCTGGTCACTTCTGAGTGAACCTGGTCTCGAGGACTGGGCTGCATGGCAATAAATATGGTACTCACTCAGTGGAAGGAGCCCATCTGCAGAGGACACCAGCAGCTGCTATCTTCACGGCTCCTGCCTCCTATTAGTCACTGCCACAGGACAGACGATTACCGAGTGCCCTATTCAGGCTAAAGGTCTTAGTGCTGAGCAAGGGTTTGCTCACCCAGGAACGGCAGATATGAGGGGGTGGGTGGGGCCAGGCTTTGTTTGTTCTGTCAAAGGCATATCCGTCATCTGGGGATGTTAATTACCTAAGAGTCGGAATATATCACCTCTCCCTTAATGTTAGTGGGGCCTGAGGCAAAAGTACAAATAGATAAAGGACTGTGAACCTAACTAGAGTCCAGTTTTTTACTCTGACTAACATGGATCATTACGGTTTGAATGGAGGATCAAAATAAAGAAGAAAAGGAAAAGAGTAGGACTTGGTGGTCCAGCCCTGAAATCCCAGCTTCTCAGGAGGCTAAAGCAGGAAGGTTGCAAATTCAAGGACAACCTGGTCAATTTAGGGAGACTGAGATTCAAAACCAAGAACAGAACAAGAGCTACGGCTATAGCTGAATGGTGGAGTGTTTGCCTACTATGCTTAAGGTTAAATCCCCAGGACTGCAGGAGAGAAAACTAAAGAAATAAAATAGCACAGATCCCTGGACTTCCGGGTATGTGCACTTGCATTCGATGCTGAGAGGAGCTCTGGCTCCCGGCCCCTAGTTTGCCTTCTTTCCTCACCTGTCTGGCACCACGAAGGATCTGTGGACATGCACAGAGCAGCTCAGTTGTCTGAGCGCGCTAGGCCACCTCCTCCCAGCACAAGCTGCCCTTTGGCACTCTGGAAAATGTCTACACTGTCTTATAGGAAAGGAGAGACCAAAGCTTTGGCCATGCGGGGAGGGAATTCCGGGCTCACAGAAAGGTAGGAGGACTTGGTCTTGAAGTGCCAGACTATGTGGACTCCTTAGACAGGCAGCAAGGTCTGGGCAGGGCTGGAGGAATCTTTAAAGAATGGAGCCTAGGGCTGGCTCTCTTGCCCTGTCATACTCGCAGTACTTTCTGTATGTAATTTCTCCTCTCCAGTCACAAGCGCAAGCACTGCGTCTGCCTAGATTTCAGCAGCTTCCCTGGCCGGGGCACATAAGAGTCAGACATAGTGGCTTAATGGAAAGTACACTGGCTTGCACATCAGACCTGGGGTCCAGGCCAAGTTCTGGCCATACCTATTCTTCCTACTTTATTGCCTCATTTAAACTTTTCTTAGCTACTGTGCTGTATCAAGGTTGTGAGGTTAAGGGACTCACTCTCTCTCAAGGTCACACAGCTAGAAGAAGCAGCGGCTGGGCTCGCGAGCTGGGTTCTGGGAGCCAGGAGCTTCAAGAGTCCTTGCCTTTCCCGCCTCCAGCCTCCTCCACGCCTAACTCTCCTCATCAGCTTCCCTCTGATGCTCAGTCCCCGGTCCCCCCCACCCGGTCTCCCTCCCTCCCTCCCGAGGCCCCTCCCCTCCCCTTAGGCCAACGTCACGTGCCGCCCCATCCCCCCGCGCCTGCGCACTGCTTATTTCCCGCTGTCAGGATGAGGAGGCGGAGGTCGGCGCTCCGGTCCGTCTCTGCCCGGGGCTGTGGCGGCGCCGGCGGCTCCAGCCTTAGCGGTTCCTCCCTGGGCGGCGGCGGCCGCGGCTCGGTCGACGCCTCCACCGCCAGCTGAGCCCGCGGCAGCCCGGGACTCTGCTTCCCCGCCCATCCCTGTTCCCCGAGGCCGCCTCCTGGCCATGGCGCAGCCGGGCCCGGCTCCCCAGCCTGACGGTGAGGCGCCCACCATGGCGGGCGCGGCCTGCCCTGCCCGGCGCTGCGTCGCGGGGGCCCTTGGGGCCGGAAGGGCACGCGCGCGGGCCCGGGGGTGACCCGCGAGGCCGGAGGCGGGAGCGCGCGGGCGTCGCGGGCCTGGGCAGCCCGGCTGGGGAGGGGGCGGGAGGCGCGGGCGCGGGCGGCCGCGGGGAAGGGCGTGGGGAGCCGGCGGGGGAGCGCGAAGAGGAAGGTGCCGTGGGATTAGCACGTGGGTTGCGCCCGTGGGGAAGATGGCAAGCGAGAACATGTGCTATATTCGTTGAGAAATAAAACAAAATAAAAAAAAGCGAGCCCTCGGCGCTGGAGTGGCGGTGTGCCGTCTCGCCCCACCTCTGCCCCCGCCTCCTCAGGCCACGCTCCAGCGCTCTTTGCACCGGGTTCTGTGACTTGTAAAAGTAACTGGGATCGGTAAGGATTTGGTAGCCTTCTGTGAGGGGTGGTGTAGCTGAATGGTAAGCCCAGGCACATTTCTTAGTCTCTTAGGACCTCACTTTCTGACGCACGAGGAGTGCTTGTTTCATGCCTCTTTATCGAGAAAGATGGGCAGGCCGGGGGCCATGCGATAAAGATGGCAACATTCATCTGTGAAAGGATAGCTTAGTGTTATTTTGAGAGTGTTAGAAATGAAAACGGTGCTCGAGAAAGCCAAAGTCGAGGAATCAGTCTTTTTCACCATTTCGTCTCTTCCTTTCAAGCGATGGGGTCTCATTTCGTTGACCATGCTGACCTGAAACTCCTGAGCTGTCCTCCTGCCTCAGTAGCGGAGACTTACAGGTGCAGGACAAACTGTCTTTTAATAGTGCTCATATATTTTTGGAAGGAAAACAAGGCCTTGCCCTAAATAAGCCATAATGATTGTTAGAACCCGTCCTGACCTTTCAGCCGACTGAGCTGTGCTTCCGAGTTTTGGCCACATTGTTTCAGATTTTTTATGTTTAATTTCTCAACATGGAGTTATGTTTGGAAAGAAAGAATGTGCTTGGTCCTTGACAAGATTTTCTGTATCCAGTTGGGAAAGTTCTTGCAGGTGTATTTCTCTAATTGGCCTTTGTGCTTAGCATCTTTACGGGTGCTTGGACACAGGAAGTATTTCATTTGGTCTTTCCCAAGAGTAGTCTCTTGAAGATTTTGTGAAAATCTTTCTGTTTGTTCTTGTCGTGGGGGGAACTGGAAATAGTGTTATCAGATGTTAAGGCTCTTGCTGCTCTCTGAGAAGTGTGCTCCTAAACTTGTTAGCCTCTAGTTTGGGGTTTTGTTAGTTGCCTAAAGGGTGATGTCCAGCTCGGACTTTAATTCGCTTGGTGTTTTATTCCAGTAGAAGAGAAGAGATGGTGGGCTGTCAGGAAACAGGGATGCATTTTGGACCTTCTTTTAATTCTCACCTTTTGTATTTGGTGTCAGGGAAGAAAACTTTCCCAACCCTCTTTGTTACTGCAGACAGAGGCAGAATACCGAGAAAGCTCTGGCTTCTGGTAGGTGTGCTTAACTGGCTGCTGCCTTCTTTTGCCTGCCACGGACAACTCAGGTGACATGAGTCTAGACTCCACATTTCCTGCCTCTTTCAAGATAGAAAATGGTCTTCCCTGCAAATAGGCAGAAGTGACTAAGCACTTCCCAGCATCGAGGAAAACATTAGCGTTGAGGAATCTCATATTCTCAATCTTGCTATTACCAGTTCGGGGTTATTACCTATTTTTCAAGTTTACATTGTAATTTTTTATTGTAAATTAATGTAAACGGGTGACCGTAACTATCGTTCTCAAAGGGAGATAGAATTTGGTATGTTTGAGTTCCTTGTGTCAGTGTATGCTTAGAAGTTCATCTTGGGGAGTTCGTTTTTCTCTTTAGTTGGATTCATGGTGATAACTTTAATTAAAAGCACATTTGATTTCAGTCTCTACAAAGGATTTGGAGAATTCCTTTGCGTCAAACTGACATTAAACTTAACTATTTAGTCTTGGACTTTATTTTTCTTTCCTGTCATCTCAGTAGCAGTTGCTGACTCTTTTGACATACTTTGCTTGTTTTTAATGAGGATATGGTATATTAAGAGTAGATTTGTGTGTAATTGGCAGGATGTGATGTAGCCATTTACATTTTTTCTTATTTTGTAATTTTTGAAAGTTTTGTTTTTTTTGATGATGCATTTCAATAGACCAATGTCAACTGATTAAATTATTTTCCCTTGAAAATTCAAAGACAAGTGTAAAAATTTTCAGACTTCAGTTGAAGCTAAACTATATCTTAGAAGCATTTGTCCTGATTTTGCTTTATTAAAATTAAATTTTTAAAAATTACCTTTATTTGTGTGTGTTTGTGTATGTGTGTATACTTGCCAAAAGGTCAGAGGACAACGTGTGGGAGTTGGTTCTCTCTTTTCATTATGTGGTTTTTGAGGTTGACAGGCTTGACAGAAGTCACATTTACTTACTGAGTGATGTCACTGACCCCTTTGTTTTTTGTATAATCTCTTTATTTAAAAATTATATGTTAGAAAAAAGGATTTTGAATGTTTTCCCATAAAGATCTGATAAGTATTTGAGGATGTAGATAATGTTTAACTTCTTTTACACATTTTATAATATGTGCTAGCTTCAAAACATTGCAAAGCCTGCCCCCTTTGATGCTTTTATTTTATTTTTTAAATTTATTTTTATGTGTTTGAGTGTTTTGCGTGCATGTTTGTGCACCATGTGCTCGTCTGAGGCCTTTGGAGTCAGAAAAGGGCATCTGGTCTCCCTGAGACTAGAGTTAGAGATGGTTGTGGGCCATCATCTGGGTGCTGGGAATGAACCCAGGTTCTCTGGGAGAACAGTCTTAATTGCTGAGCCATCTTAGTCCTCCATTGATGTTTTATATATTAGGGAAAAAAACCTTAAGTAAAAGTATATTTTTCCATTTCTCAGAGGCAAGATTTCTGTTCTGCTTTTTATTCCGTTATATAGACATGCTACCTTTAATCTTTGAAATAGATGGGTACAAAGGTCTGCAACTTTCTTGTCTCACTTAAATGTTACTTATCATTACTCTGTATGTGTGTGTGTGTGTAAATGGTTACATGGCCCTGTGACATGCCATAACCATTGTAGGGGGTGCTATTGTAATAGCTTCTAGTTTTTGATGAAGAAACTGAAGCACAGAGAAATTAAACATGCCTGGAGCTACAGTAAGTTAGAGGGGCAGGATTCAAACACCGAACATTTGAGTCCAGGATCCTCTGGTTTGTTTACTAGAGCAGAAGGACCATTGTCTGTTCCTGTACTATATAGCTCTGCCATTTTCTTATTAAAAGTCTATTCCATCACGTGTGTGGTGTGCATGATGAATTTTCTTGTTTTTATTCATTATTATTTTAATGATTTTTGTTATTTTATGTGTGCTTGTATTTTGCCTGCATGTATGTCTGTCTCTGAAACCCACATAGGCTAGAAAAGGGAATTGGCTCCCTGGAACTGAAGTTAACAGGTGGTTGTGAGCCACCATGTGAGTACTGGGTATTGAACCTCCTCCGGAAGAATATCAGTTCCCTTAATTGTTGAGCTATCTCTCCAACCCCTATTTTTATTTTTATTATTGGGACAAGGTTCTAATCTAGCCAAACTGGCCTCCAATTCATGATGTTCTCCTGCTGTATCCTCTGGAGTATTGGGATGACAGGCTGTGTGTTTCCACAGATGCGCTAGTTGGTTGCTAATCTCTTCATTTTATAAGCAGTGCTAAGATGGTGTACTTTTTTCTACTGGGGTTTGAATCCAGTACCTTGTACATGCTAAGCAAGCACTATATTACTGAGCTATAGTTCTAGTTTCTTTTACCTCTTGAGACAAGGCCTTACTCTAACACAGCAGTCCTTGAACTTAAGATCCTCCAGCCTTAGCTTACTTAGTAGCTGCAATTGCAGGCCTAACCACTGGTGCTCTTGCTTTTATATCTGCAAGACTACTGAGTTAAAAGGAAACGTCCTTATGGATTTAAATTTTAAAGCTGCTGCTAGTTTAAGCTAAAAAAAAAAAAGTATCAATTTATATACCTGCCAAGGTATATGAGAAGGTAGATTTCCTCATTAAAAGCTCTGGGTGGCTGTTACAGTCTCCTGCTAGGTACTGCAAGTTAGTCTTGGATTCACTGCATAGCTCTGGTTCACCTGAAGCTAACAGTAGTCCCATCTCATGTCCTAAGTGCTGGGATTACAAGTATGCCTACCATACCTGAGGTGTTCTTTAATTAATGTTTTGGTGCCTGGACTATGCTAACCCCTCTGTTAGTCTCTAAGAAATACAGAGATAAGTCAAACCAGATCCAGTCTCTGTTCCTAGGTAGTCATTTAGTCATTAATTAGATTATTCCACAGACGGTGTAAAAGCATTTATTCAACTATTACTAATGTGAACTACTTGTCAGGCACAATTCTGGTAATTATAATCCATCAGTGAGCATGACAGGTAATAAACAGCCCTGCTTTAATGAAGGGAAACAGGTACTGAACATACATAGGTTATATACATTCTTAGCCAATAAATGCTCTTTAAAACAGCAGAGCAGCGTCCTAGGAAGCATTGGGCTTGTTTTATTTGATTACTTAAGTGTTTATGTGCTTGTGGGGTAGGTTAGGTTCCCAGCAGCCAGAAGAGGGTGTTAGATTCCCAAGAGTAAGAGTTACAGTTTGAACTACCTGGTGTGGTGGGTAGGGACTAATCTTGGGTCCTCTGCAAGAGTTACAAATGATCTTAACTGCTAAGCCTTCTCACTAGCCCTGGGGTTGGTTTTAAATGAATTGTCGGAATAGTGATTTCTGACACAGATATTCCGATACAGATAAAATTTATGCAGAGACCTGAAGGACGAAGTGGAATTAGCCATGAGGCAAAGCTTCGCGAGGACATATCTAGCATACTGAAGAGGCAGCTGTGGCTGGAGTGGTGTTAGCAGAGTGAGAATGAGCCCATCACAGAGATAGG